AACAACAGGCCCAATAACAAAAGGGATAAGTGGGCTAACACCTTAAAGTCATCCAAGTCATTTGGGTTGGGTCATGAGCAACTCTAATTAATTAGACTGCTTCAAATGGCCCAAGTGGATTACGTGATTCAATTGTAATGTCGACATTTCACTTCACTCATCGGCCAAAGCTTATGAAGTATAATCCAACTAAAAAACCAATTTAACATCATAACCCAGGATTTATTGGGTATCAAAACCCAACAGATGATCTGTGCAAATTCAAATGCCTAACATCCTTTATTATGAGCGTGTCCCTAGTACTCATGTGAGTAATTATTTATATTAACAGCGCAAATCAAATTTCTTTAATTAGGTGGGAACTGCAAAATGAATAGATTAATGGGTTAATTTCACAAACGGTCACTGAAGTTACCTGAAAATCACAAAACGGTCACTGAAGTTTAAATTTCTTTCACAAACGGTCACTGAATTTTCAGATTTTTTGGTCAAGTTTAGCGACGATTTTTCGGCAACTTCCGAACACAGATTTTTTGGATGAGTTTGCCGCAATTTTTCGGCAACTTCCGACCACCAACACCGCAAGTTTCGGATACCGTTGGAAAGCCCGCAATGTCCTCTTCAATTACCACCACAAATTTCCACATAACTCCAAGGGATTTGGCCGGAATAAACCTAGCTACCAAAAAAATTTGAAAATCTGCTCAGTTTGGGTACCTGACTTCATGGGTTTATTCCGGCCGAATCTGTTAGAGTTATGGGGAGATTTTTCATGGTAATTGAAGATGACATTGTGGGCTTTCCAACGGTATCCGAAATCGACGGTATTGGTAATCGGAAGTTACCGAAAAATTGCCACAAACTCGCCCAAAAAACCTAAAAATCTGGGTAGATTTTCAAATTTTTAGGTAACCGACCGAATCTCTAGGATTTATGAGGAGCTTTTTGGTGATAATTGAAGAGGACATTGTGGGCTTTCCAACAGTATCCAAATCCGGCGGTCTTGGTAGTCGGAAGTTGTTGAAAAATCGTCGCAAAACTTGCCCAAAAAATCTGAAAATTCAATGATCGTTTGTGAAAGAAATTTAAACTTCAATGACCGTTTCTGCAAGTTTTAAACTTCAGTGACCGTTTTGTGATTTTTAGGTAATTTCAGTGACCATTTGTGAAATTAACCCATAGATTAATCAAATTTGCGATATCGAATAAGACTCAATCTGCCCGTTACCGCTCTAATTACCTCAAAAAGACGGGGCTTCGTTTTCCTTTTCTCTCCAACATTCAAGTTAGTATCTAAAAGGCAAAAGGGTAAAGATATATTTGAAATATATAAAAGGTACCAAAAAAACTTACTCCACAAATTGGAACCTATTCATATGTCTTCTTTTGGGGCAACATGTCCAATTGTTTGTGTAAGTGTGTAACACCTGGTCCTACTTTTGTAGAGTAAATCTTGGGTATGGACATCTTTTAATACTAGTCGTTAGACAAGAATATTCCATAAATATTTTCAGCACTGCTATCACAGAGATGTACACCTAGGTGGACGTCTTAGTGACTCTACCATTCAAGATGTTGAGGAAGGCACTACTGAGAGAATGATTTTAAGCCATGATTCATGAAATCAGGTTTGCTCAATACATGGCAGCATTATTACCTTTGCACACATGAGGTTGAACTAAAGTCATACTAATTCTCACAAAATCATTGGCCAATACCCTGAACAGTTATGATAGTTAATAGTCATACGATGATCATTATGGGATTACCTTGCATTTTTCTGGTCATAGTCCTTGGTCACTTCATAACCCAGATTTCAATGGAGTTTAAAAATCTATAATTTTTTATGTGTGCGTTTTTGCACAGGCTTGTAACGATGAGTTTCCCTTTTTCTGAGATGGTTACACATTCTATGATGCTTTCGCAATGTTATAATTAATTTAATTAATAAGATTTTATTTGTTGGAACTAACTATGTTTTGTAGTGAAATAAGCCATGGAAGTCCAAGACAATCCGCATGTGTAACGATTAAGTTCAAAATTCTGAGC